GCAAGTGACCATGATTAGCAAACAAAATACCACTGCCCGGACACCTTTTTAAGTAGCGAAGGATCCGAATAGATGCATCAAGGTGAGGGGTGCGAGGAGAGTGCATGAATTGACTCACGACACTCACGGCATAAGCAATGTCAGGTTGAGTTATGGAGAAATAGATGAGCTTCCCCACAAGTCGTTGATACTGACAAACATCTGACAACAACTCCCCCTCAGAATCAGCCAACCGATGATTCTGCTCAATTGGAGTATCAGCAGGATGAGTGCCAAGCTGACCAGAAGCAGAAAGCAAGTCAAGAACATTCTTGCTTTGAGAGATGAAAATGCCAACCTTGGAGCGAGCCACCTCAATGCCCAAGAAGTACCGTGGGGACCAAGATCCTTAATCTCAAACTGACGGCCAAGATAGCTCTTAACCTCAGCATTCCAGTAAGAACATTATCACTGACATACACAATGAAAGCAATTGTCTTACCGCCTGAATGACAAAAAAACAAGGTATGATCAGCTGCACTTTGATGGAAACCAAACTTGAGCATGGCAGTGCCAAAGCGATCAAACCAAGCTCGAGGAGACTGCTTGAGGCCATACAGAGAACGACGAAGACCACAGAGCATGGCTATATGTTTAGCAGTCTTCATAAACATATAGCCAACGGCTATGTTTGGCTGTATCAAAGTGACTAGCCTAGACATAACCATAAATCACTGTGGATATGCCTTCTCTTAGTCTGGCTCTTTCTCAAAACCAGTAATATAGCCAATCTTGCCTTTGCCACCAATGAACATCTTGGCAGATTATGCCTAAATCAAATAATTAGAGCCATCCAACTTCACTGTGGTGATTTGAAGTCCTGGATTTTTTGATGAGTTGGTGGAAAAAATGGCACCACCACTCACAGAATTTGAGCCGAGAGAGAATTAACGATCGAGGGCTCTAAATTTGCCATAATCTATCACACGACAATAAACAACTCCAAAAACACCACAAATTCTGTTAATAAATCAAAGGGTTTCCTTAGACCATAAGCAATTACAATGTCTCCTCAGACCATTCCCCAAAAGTCCACATACAGACTTTTTCAAGGAGCGTTGCCTGCTTACATATAGCCGGACAGCCTCCTGCTCAATATCCGGAACTTCTCTGTAGACTAAAAAAAAAAAAAAAAAAAAAACCCCAAGCCCTTCTAGGTGTTGGAGACTAACTATCCCAATTTACCCGGCCATAAAAGAGTAAAAAACAAAATGTAAAGCTTAAAAATACATGTTTTCGATCACAAAATAACAACACAGAAAATCATGTGTAGGCAACATCACACGATGTCGCAAACAACCTAAGGTGGTTGTCGAACAAGTAGCAAGGCTGTTGAAAGATATGGAATTGTGTTGGCTCTGATACCAAGAAAAAATATAAAAAAGAAAAAAATTGTGTAAAGGCTTGAATGAGATAAATCACTCATTCACATCTCTAGTACTTATAGATAAAAAGAGCATATGCTCATATTACAAAAAAGAAAATTAAATCAAATCTAAATCAAATCAAATCATATTCTATAGTATGGCATATTCTATAACATAATCAAATCTCTGCTAATATGGTAAGTCATTCTATAAATCGTGGCTATCATATCTGCTAACATTTTCCTTCATTGTTTACAGATTGTACAAGGCCTATGTGTGAGTTACTCGGTGCGGAAGCTGTTAGTTAATTTAGTTGTGATTAAATCCCTAAATGACCTAGATGAGATTATTAGGTCAACTTGCCTAATTTTTGTGATTGATTATTTTACCCAAGAATATGATCAATTAAACATCCACAATCACATATATAAATACTGAAAAGTGAAGCAAGTAAAGTTAGAGAGATGACATGAGAATTTTAGCGAGGAAATCAATTGGAAAAACCTCGAGGATTTTTGCGCTGTCCTGAGCGTAAAAAGATCCACTATGTATGAAGCAAAGTACATTGAACTTTGATTCAGGCTCACACTCCTTCGCTCTACCAAGACCCAATCTGCTGATTGCCTCTGGCTTTGCAACTTCCCGTCCAACAACTCTTGACTTCAGACTTATGCCTCGAACCTTGTAGAAGGATTGCTGGTAGATCAACAACACTCCACAAGTGCCTTGATCCCTTCGAAGTGTGATTTGAAAATTCTTCTTATATAAATTTGAATTTGATGTAGAAGAAATAGATCTGCTTTTCGGAATTTCTGAATCTTCAATTATGCTTCAATTCCGATGAGATAGAGTACAACACTATTAAATCACTCTTATATATATGTGTGTGCTTACTTATCAAAAAAAAATATTAATATATGTGTGTGCTCTGAAAACAAAAATAGAAAAATCAGATTTGATTTTCTGAAAAATATCTCTCAAAAAGGCTCTCTCAAAATAATGAAATTGTGTTCCAAAAAGCCGTACCTCAATGTTGAATAAAAGAGAGATTGTATAGAAGTTTGAAAGACCTAAAGATACTTGGAAATCGAGGCAAATTCTTGCATAGGTTTTTGGAAAGAAATCTACCCACAATAGGAATCAAAACAGACCAGGAAGGTTAGTTACCAAAACAGATCTTAAGACCTTGAACTGGTTCAAGTTGGCTAGTAAGTTTTCTGAAGAAAATAATCTAAACAATCCGTGACACTTGAGCCGGTTCAGGTTGGCCAGACTTGAAAAACACCAAAAGCCTCAAAAGTTGAACCTGTTCTAACATTCTTGAACGAGTTCAAGTTGGGCAGAATGTAAAATCTTCCTAAAAACTTGTGTTTTGAACTTCCCAAACTTCTGAAGTGTTCTCACACACTCACATACCTTTCTGAAGCATTGTTCTCATCATCTCGGAGTATATTAAAGTATGAACACTTGAACTTCTTCAAATCCGCTTCCGATCTTGAATCTTAAAATTTTGAACCAAATTTTACAACTCGATTGGATTTGTTTTGACAACGAAATTAGCCAATTACAAAATATATATCTCACACTTCATATACAAGAAATGACAGCTACACTCTAGGTTATGAATAAGGAAAGAAATTGTTGGAGAATAATATTATAGAAACCCTTAATTTCCTCCTTGACATACTATTGCTTTGGAATATCATAGGAGTGATTTTAGCCTATGATAGAATATGGGATTGATTGGAGTAATATATGGGATTGATTGTAAGAATCCTCCATCAATGTATTTTCCATATTTATCACTTATATCCTTTCACCTATGAATAGAGGTGATCATTGTATACAAAGATCAAGAGAGAATATAATAAAAGTGATGTAGCCCTTTGGGCTTTGTTTTTCTATCCTTGTGTTCTTCATGTTTATTTTCTCTCTTCAATTTTTATGTCTTTCAATAGAAATAAATGTACAAATTCAAAGATTTGCAGCTATACAAACAACTGGAATCAGAGACTAAAATGGGAAGAAATCATTCCAATTTATTCAGGGAATAATTCCGAATAAATTGGATCCGAATCCTGGGGTCAACCGCGCCTAGAATCCCAGATTTTCTGGTGATCTGTTTTTCCACATATTATTTATGAAAAAAAAAAAAAAAACTCACATGAATTGTAAGCTAGTATTATCTAGTATGCCTTTCTAGCTATACCATATATTATATGGACTCGGAGATATGTTTCCATGTCTAAGCATTTGAATTTTTGTAACCAAACGAAAAAATACAAAGACATAGCTAAAAGATAGATCACCCAGTTTTGGTCCAGCTACAATACGGTCTTGGAGGGGGAGAACTTTAGACAGACCTGACCTTTGATTTTTTGCATTGTGGCTGGGGCTCGAACTCGCACCAATGATGACACTAATGTCTAAGCGTTAAACTTCTGAACCAGGCAACAATCTTTATGCACAAAGAAATGATCTTGTGTGAAAGTTAAAAGGAATTATAAAAATCAACTCAATTGTATTCATCCCAATAGGGGTATTTATATATGTGTTACATGAAATAAAAAAAGGGCATGTACAAAAGCAAGCCTAGATCTAAAGCTAAATGTAAGATAAGCCTATAATTAAGCCAAAACATATGTAAGAGAAGATATGCAAATATAAAGGCTACTATCAAGCCTAAATCTAAGGGGGCTGTCTAACACTCCCCTGCAAACTCAACGGTCTAGGGAGGACGAGTTTGGAACTAGAAGCTCAAAACGACGCTTGCGAAGCCCCTTAGTGAAGATATCTGCAGTTTGGTCGGCAGAAGGAACAAATTGAACACGATGGCTACCAGGGGGAACCAGTTCCCGAATGAAGTGATAATCAAGCTCAATATGCTTGGTACAAGCATGGAAGACAGGATTAGATTCCATGTGAGTAGAATTGAGGTTGTCACAGTAGAGCATGACCGGTGTGGAAAGAGGCAAATGAAGCTCACATCGAAGGTGTTGTATCCAAATTGTGGTACTTCCCATGTTTGGCAGATACTTTTTATGTGCTGTGTTGAAATATGTGTATCATAATTTTTTTTTATTTTTATTAGCTGTTTTCAGCCTTTAATTAGGTGTTTTATGTAAGATCCCTTTTATCATGGGATCACGTAGATAAGATCCCCGTAATCAAGGGATCACGTAGATTTTGGCATATTTCATGTTTTTCTTTGATTTGGTTTCCTTTCTTTGTACCCTTTTCCTGTATATAAATATAGCTCTTGGCTCTCGGTTTGAGTAAGCCGAAACCCAAAACTTCTTATTTTTGATGAATTGTTGTATTACTTGGGTTGTGAGAGTAATGTCCTTTTTTTATAGGTTAGGTTTGTTTTCTCTTAGGTTATAAGAGGATTCTTGTGCCTTGGAGTGCTCTTTACACTACATTGTTTATCTGTACTATCTTCTTTTTTCAGATTAATAGAACTTACATATGCATGTACTTCATGTTAAGTTGTTTTTTTTTTTTCATGCTGTATGTATGTTCTTGTATGCTCTTGATTGGTAAAAGTATCTAACTTTTTCTTATTTGTTCCCATTTAATATATTATTGTTGAAGCTTGCCCGTTAGGTTCTTACTGTCCTCTTGCAAAACTCAATAAAACTACTGGTTTGTGTGATCCGTAAGTTAGATTCTTTTCTGAATTGTTTTTATTTTTCATTTATTTTTGCTTCTTGTGCTTAAGCTTTATATTCATTTTATGTAAAAAAAAAAAACTGCAGCTATCATTATCAACCACCCGCTGGGCGCCCAAACCATACTTGTGGTGGAGCAAATATTTGGACTGATTTTTTGAGAAATCGCGAGATTTTCTGTTCAGCAGGATCATACTGTCCAAGTACTACCAGAAAAATTCCTTGCAGTCCTGGGTATTAATTATTATCCCAGAACTTGTAACCATTGTCTGGAATACTATACTTTTGTGTTGATGCATATTTTGGCATTTAATATCTCTTTAATTCATCTTTGTACCCATTTGTTTATAAATTCTCTTTCATGCTTTCTTCTTTATTGACTAATGCTAGCGTTTTGTTTGTTATACTTCAGGCATTATTGCAGAGCAGGTTCTACATCACAAACAGGTTAAGTTTACTCTCTCTCTCTCTCTCTCTCTTCATTGGCAAGAAACACACACTTCTTGCCCACACCCGGGCTCGAACCCCTCCCCTCCTCTTTGAGGATAGGGAAGTTATACCATTAGGCTAGAAGCCTTTTGGTAGGTTAAGTTTATTCTACTTTTAACATTGTGCATACTGAAATATTGGAAGTTCTATTGTCTCATGACTTGACAGAATTTAATGAACATATCAAATAGAAACTATGTAAGGATGCATGGAAGGATATTGAAGTCTGACACAGACTCGTATGGAACTCAGGCATTAACGGTTTGTGATTGCTTTATTTGAAAGAGTTACTCTAAACAATAAGGAATTAGGAAAGAATTGTTTTAGTGAAATGGTATTTCATTGATATTGAGAATGATATACACGTACACTACTTATAGGCTATACCAGGCATTAAAAAAGGAACAGAATAACTATACAACTAATTTTCCTTATTTACAGAGTTGACTAGTCCTATATTTAAACATAAAATACAGCTAGGCAATCCCTAGAGATCAGTAATAAATCTCAACCGAATATTCTCGCAATCCCTAGAGATCAGCAATAAATCTCAACCGAATATTTTCCTTTCCAACACTCCCCCTTAAGCTGGTTTGAATATATCTTCCATAGCCAACTTGCCTGTCAATTTCTTAAATTGTTTCTTGGACAGACCCTTTGTAAGAACATCTGCAATCTGTTCATCAGTTGGTATATAGGTCATACAAATCTGCCCGTTCCTCTATTTTTTCCTTGATGAAGTGCTTGTCTACCTCAACATACTTGGTTCTGTCATGAAGAACAGGATTATGTGTTATTGAGATTGCTGCTTTGTTATCACAGTATGCCTTTATCGGAGAGGGACTTGAGACCTTCAGTTCGTTTAAGATTCTCTTAACCCACAAGACCTCACAAATTCCGTGGGCAGTTGATATAAATTCGGCTTCAGCACTGCTTGTTGCCACTACATTTTGTTTTTTACTACGCCAAGTAACAAGGTTTCTTCCAACAAAAGTACAGTAGCCAGAGGTTGACCTTCTATCGGTTATACTCCCAGCCTAGGAAGCCCGGACACGTCAAAATGGGCGAAGAATCCGTGTCCGACACGTGTCGGACACCGACACTCGTCGGATACACCCTGACACGTGTCGGACACACCAAAAAACGTGTTTGGAATTTTTTATTTTTATTTTTTAATTTTCGGATACGGCACGGACACGTCAAAATGGGCGAAGAATCCGTGTTCGACACGTGTCGGACACCGACACTCGTTGGATACACCCTGACACGTGTCGGACACATCAAAAAACGTGTTTGGAATTTTTTATTTTTATTTTTTAATTTTCGGACACGGCACGGACACTCCGCGGACACGCGTCCGACACGCCAGGGGTGTGTGTCCGACACACGTGTCTTATTTTCGGGAGTCTAAAAGATAATTTTTGAAAGAAAATTGGGTTAAAATATAAATATGTTAAGTTATTTAACAACTTTTACTCGCTTATGTGGTCTGTACATAATAATTTCAAATTTGTAATTAAATGATACTAGTTATTATTCTAATGTCTTGTTTTTTATTTGGCTTTATAACTCTGCAACATTGTTCTTTTATAGTTTATTAGTTATGAGTTATGATTTGTGTATTTTTTTCATTGTGAGGTTGATGAAAAATAGTAAAACTCGGTAATTTTTCAAGTATTACATCATATATATATATATACACACACACTATTCACCGTGTCCCCATCGTATCCTAATTTTTTTGGATTTGCCGTGTCGCCGTGTCCGTGTACCGTATCCGTGTTTGTGCTTCTTAGCTCCCAGCCCAGTCTGCATCTGTATATACTTCAATTTGTAGATGACCGTGCTTTTCAAACAGCAGGCCCTTCCTTGGTGATCCCTTTAAGTATCTTAGGATTCTGTACACAGCCTCGAAGTGTTTTAGACCTGGTGAGTGCATAAATTGACTTACCATGCTCACTGCAAAAGCTATATCTGGGTGAGTATGCGACAGATAAATCATTCTACCAACTAGCCTCTGAAATTGTTCCCTGTTATTCACATCTTCGGGTTTAGCAGATTGGAGCTTCAAGTTCGGTTCAATTGGTGTCTCTGCTGCCTTGCAACTGAGTAGACCTGTCTGTCCAAGAAGATCCAGCACATATTTTCGTTGAGACACGAAGATGCCCTTTTTAGACCTGGCAAACTCCATTTGAAGAAAATACTTTAAGGCTCCCAAGTCCTTGATCTCAAAGTCATCAGCAAGAACTCTCTTGAGTCTTTTGAGCTCAACATGATCATCACCTATTAATATTATATCATCAACATAAACAATCAAAATAGCAATCTTTCCTTCTTTTGAGTGCTTATGGAACATAGTGTGATCTGCCTGACTTTGTGTATATCTGTGGCCCTTTACAGCTTTCCCAAATCGCTCAAACCTTGCTTTGGGAGATTGTTTGAAGTCATACAGGGATTTTCTTAGTCTACACACTTTCCCTTCACCAAGACGTTCTTCAAACCCCGGTGGTAGGCTCATAAAGACTTCCTCTTCCAAATCCCCATTTAAGAATGCGTTTTTTACTGTGGGGAGCACCTGTCTTGTTTGCTAATTGAGAAAGGCACAAAACTTCTATTAAAACTTGATGACAAAGAAGTTTGATGGTGTTTGGGTAACACACAACTATCACAATGGAAATTAGAAACATCAACTTTGGAAAATAAAGACGCGAATAGCTTACGAAAATAGCTAAATGAGGGGTGTCCTAATCTTTTATGCCATAACCAAATCTGCTCTTCTGATGTTGACCTGCCAACTACTTGATTTATTTATTTATTTTCCATCCGGAGCCCAATTCATATCCAACTAGTACAGACCACTTCATTCTCTACCAAGACCAATCTTCGCTCCTGTAAGAAGATCCTGAAAGACACAATGAGTATCAAAGAATGTTACGGAACATTTAAGAGCCTTAGTAATCTGACTAATTGACAATAGAATACCAGTTAAACATGGAACATGTAAGATAGTAGAGAGAGAGACATAGAAGAAGTTAGAGGAATGAAACCTTCCCCAGACACAATAGAAGCAGATCCATTTGCTGTATTAACACTCTTTGTACTAGGATGAGTGCTATAAGAAGAAAAAAAACTAGATTCAAAGTGTCATATGATCAGTAGTACCCGATGCGTGCTATAAGAAAAAAAAAACTAGATTCATGTTTCATATGATCAGTAATACCCGATTTATAACCCAAGACGACTCATCATGATTAGAAGTGCTCAAGGCTAATCCAAAGTTACTTGTATTGGCTGATTTAGTGGAAGCATTTTTTGAGGATAACTTTTGAGCATACTCTTTCACCATTTGATTTACCTGGGCCTAAGAATACCGTGGCATAGAACCAGAAAATTTAGAGGTAAGCTGAAACTTGTTTCCGTGTCTATGGTGTGAAGAATCTAGGCCTTAGGATGTTGTCCAAGAATAGGTCAGCGGTAATCTCTCAGACCGGTGATCCACCCAACATCTCCTCTTAAATGGAGGTCGAGGATTTCAAGTCCTGAGTGACTGTTCCAGAAATAAAGTTTGAAATTTCCATTCATGTTAAAAAACTTGATACAAAAAATGTAAAGTTACGTTTTCATAGAAGCTTTACATGAATAAAAAATTAGTGAAGATAATATAACAGATTGAACATGTCGCTGCTACTTTAGTCTCATCTTTCATTCTGTTTTATGTAGAGTGCCAGGGTGCATATCAGTTGATTATTTTTCTATATTTTAAAGTTTATTTTACTTCATGTTGATGATCCCTGAAAGGATGTAATCATTGTGGATGAACTTGCAGGCTGTTTTAGCTTGGCAAATTGTAAACAAGAAACTGCAAACCAGAATATCACTGCTTACGGAATCATGCTTTTTGTAAGTGGTCAGCTTACTCTTAAGTCATATAGATGTGTCAGGTTATTCTGTTGTATCTCTGATAAAGTACCGCGCTAATTGTGGGTAGTTTGAATTTTGCTTCCAAATAGTAACTTGAATTCACCAGAGGTTCTTGTTTTATTTTATTCTGTTAGAAATCTTATCTATAAGGTGACTCAACGATTATGGCAGATTATTGGGTCTTCAATATAGGCTAATTTTTAGGGATTTTATTTTTATTCTGATTTGATTTGATTTGATTTTATTCTCTTTTCCATATTTGTAATTTTCCACTTGTATATAATAATATTCAGGCTCTCAAATTGAGTACGCCAATTTTACCAAGTTACTTTTTGGTATCAGAGCCACAAACCTATGCCTCCCCCATCTCTCTCTCTTTCACCGCCTCTTTTAATATCTCTCTCTATCTTGTTACAGCCCCTTTCCCATTTTTTTTTTTTCGCAGACCTTCTCTCTTTTCAGGTCGCTGTTGCGACAGTCCTAGGGGGAGTCAATCTCCTCTAGGTTCGACCCCTGTAGGGGTATTCCCTTAGTCTTTTTCATGCACTAAGGGTCAGAAGACGTGTTTGTAATTTTTTGGGGCTGCCAAGATATTCGGCAGCATTTTCGGATCAGACCGCCGTGTCTCCGGCTTCCTGGTTTGATCAAAATCAGGTTTATTCCTCATTTATTTGAAATTATTGGTAATCTGTTGAATTGATCTATTTAATATTATGGCTGAATCAAGTAATAATAAAGAAACTCTCTTTTCGGCGCAACACACACCGGCTCAATGAGTTACTAGTGTGCTGTTGAATGGCCGTAATTTTGCATCCTGGGCTCGTTCCCTCCGCCTCTATGTTGGTGGAAAAGGCAAATCAGGGTGGATTTTGGGTACTAAAAAGAGGCCAGATATTAAAGATCCTAAATATGCTCAGTGGGATATGGACAATTGCACCATTTTAGGATGGATGTTTAATTCTATGGAGGAACGCATTTATAATATATTCATGTTTTGTGACTCTGTTAATGACTTGTGGATTGCTTTGAATCAAATGTATGCTCATTCTAGGAATGATGCTCGTATTTTTGAATTATATCAAGATATTGCTAAGGCCTCGCACGAAGGCCTTAATTTGTCAGTAACTGATTATTTTGGGTATTTGAGATCTCGTTGGGAGGAACTAGCTCAATATGAGCCTCTCAATGAATTTCCTTCTGAGGTAGCCTCTCTTCTTGTCAAATGTCTTGATCGTCAGCATACCTATCAGTTTTTGATAGGATTACGCCCAGAATTTGAACCACTAAAGTCTCAGATCTTGAATGCATCACCAATGCCATCCCTGTTGGAAGCCTTTGCTACTGTTAATGGTGAAGCACGTAGGCACCGTTTAATTCAGCCCTCAATTGTTCCTGTACCAGTGTTTGAGCCTGCTGGGGATAGTATGGCTTTTGCAGCCAACTTTGGATCACGAGCTTGTGGAGGTTAGATTATTTGTCACCATTGTGGAGGGGTTGGACATGTTAAGGCTCGTTGCTTCAAACTTCATCCTGAATTGAAGCAAAAATTTTCTAGGAACCGTTTATCTGGAACTGGTTCTTCTCGTACTGCGGCTGTTGCAGAAACTCCTGTTACTACTGGTGGATCTACTGTATTTCCTGGACTGAGCCAGCTTCAGTCTCAGATTGGGCAGATCCAGGATCAGCTTGACTCCCTTGCTTTTAGAGTTAGTGCTCCTGCAACTGCTCCCACTGCAACTATTGCTATAGGTACTCCTACTGCATTTCATGTTAAGGCCAAGCAGCCCACTTGGGTTCTGGATTCTGGGGCCAATGATCACATGACTGGTGAGTTATCAGTTTTTTCTTCTAATGTCATACCTGTTACCCAATCTGTGTATCTTGCGGATGACTTTACATCTTACATTCACAGTAAGGGTGATGTTTGTCTGTCTCCTGATATTACTCTTTCATCTGTCCTTCATGTACCTAAATTTGCCTTTAACCTTTAATCTGTTAGCCGGCTTGCAAAAAACCTCCAATGTGCAGTTATATTCTTACCAGATCACTGTTTGTTGCAGGACCTTTGTTCGAAGAGGATTTTTGGCAGGGGTTATGAGCGTGATGGGCTTTACTACTTTGGGGAACCACCAGGAACGAGTCTTCAAGCTTCTGTCCTACCTACTTCTAGTGATTATGATGTTTCTTTTTGCACTTTTAGTCAGTGGCATGCACGTTTGGGGCATATAAACTTTCAATATCTATGTCTATTGTTTCCTTCGTTAAATAAAGCATGTAAGGACCATAAGTTTCAATGTGAAGTTTGTGAGCTTTCTAAACATACTAGAACTAGCTATATTTCTCATATGAGTCGTGCTCCTAGTATGTTTGATCTTATTCATTTTGATGTCTGGGCCCTTCCCCAGTTATTGCTTTCTCTGGACATCGATATTATGTGACATTTATTCTCGTTGTACTTGGGTTTATTTATTGAAAAAGAAATCTGATGTGTTTCTTTTATTTACCCAGTTTCTTCAAATGATTAAAACCCAATATAACACTGTTGTTCGTAATTTCGTTCTGATAATGGACGAGAATATATTTCGAATGAGTTCCGGTCTGAACTTAATAAAAAAGGGATTTTACATCAACTCACTTGCCCCTATACTCCTGAGCAAAATGACGTGGCTGAACGCAAAAACCGTCATCTTATGTCTGTGGTCCGATGTCTTCTGAGTGGTATGCATGTGCCTAAATTCTTTTGGCACATGGCTGTTCTTACAACTGCTTTTCTGATTAATCGTACTCCCAGTCGAGTTTTGGGTGGTAAGGCACCACTTCAGATTCTCCAGCCTGATTATACATTGTTTCACCTTTTGCCTCGTGTTTTTGGCTGTACTTGTTTTGTTCATAACCGTAGTCCTTCTCGTCATAAACTTGATGATAAATCTATTAGGTGTATTTTCTTGGGGTATTCTCCTATGTCAAAGGGCTATCGTTGTTATGATCCTGTGACCAAACATATGTATTATTCTCTTGATGTGACATTTCATGAAACTGTTCCTTTTTATAGTACTAATTTTGTGGTACAGGATTCTCTCTCTTGTGATCTGGAGAAGGAGATTTCTCCTATTGCTCATCCTGTTCCTCTCTTTGAAAATCACACTGTCCTAGAATCTCCTTCTCCATCCATGCAGGGTTCCCCTCCACCTTTGCAGGTCTACTCTCGTCGCCATCGCACTCAACCTCCCCTACCAGAATCATCTTTAGAACCAGGTCCAGGTAACTCTCCTTCTCCTACTGCTCCTACAATTCTTGAGCGTACCTCCCGTTATCCTACCCGTGATCGTCATCCTCCTAATTGGTATGGTTTTTCTAGTAGCACTAATCACCCTATTTCCCAGTATGTCTCCTATGATGGTCTTTCAGGTGCATATAAATCATTCCTGGGCAAGATTGGGACCGTTTCTATTACTCGATCTATGTCAGAGGCCCTCCAGGATCCCAATTGGGTGTCTGCCATGACAACAGAAATGGATGCTTTACACCATATTAATACATGGGAACTTGTTGCTTTACCTTCTGGGGAGAAAATGGTTGGCTGCAAATGGGTCTTTAATGTGAAGTACTTAGCCGATGGTTCTATTGATCGGTATAAGGCTCGGTTGGTGGCAAAAGGCTTTACTCAAATTCCGGGCAAAGACTTTAGTGCTACCTTTGCTCCTGTGGCTAAGTTAACGTCTGTGCGATTGCTTGTCTCCTTGTCTGCTGCCCATTCTTGGCCTCTGCATCAGTTAGATGTCAAGAATGCATTTCTTAATGGAGACTTATTTGAGACTATATATATGGATCCATCCCTTGGATTTCGGGCTGAGGGGGAGTATGCTGGGAAAGTCTGTAGGCTACGGAAGTCTCTTTATGGTTTGAAGCAATCTCCTAGAGCTTGGTTTAGTCGTTTCAGCGATGTTGTTTTATCCATAGGCTTTGTGCGCTGCCACTCAGACCATACTTGTTTTATTCGACGTCGTTCTGATGGTCGTTGCATTATGTTATTGGTATATGTGGATGATATCATTATCACTGGTGATGATGCTTCAGGGATTGCTCAGGCAAAACTTCATCTTCAAAAGTTTTTTAATGTGAAGGACTTAGGTCCTCTTCGATATTTTCTTGGAATTGAGGTTGCTAGATCCCGTCGTAGAATTTCTTTATCTCAAAGGAAATATGTTTTGGATCTTCTTCAAGATACTGGCTTGCTTGGGTGTCGACCCCCTTCCACTCCTATGGACCCCAATCTTAAACTCTCTGTTGAGTCAGAGGAATTACTTCCAGATCCATCTGTGTATCAACGTTTAGTAGGTCGTCTTATCTACTTGACTAGCCCAAGGCCTGATTTGACATTTGCTGTTAGTGTGATTAGTCAATTCATGCATGCCCCTCGCTCAGCTCATATGGATGCAGTCTACCATATTTTGAGGTACCTTAAGTCGTGCCCTGGTCTTGGTCTGTTCTATGCCTTAGGAAATCAGTCTGGACTCTCATGCTTTACTAATGCAGACTATGCTGGATGTAAGACAGATAGACGTTCTACCTCTGGCTTCTGTATTTTCTATGGTAATCATCTCATATCATGGAAGAGTAAGAAGCAGGCTGTTGTTTCTAGATCCTCTGCTGAAGCTGAATACCGAGCTATGGCTCAAGGTACTTGTGAGCTCCTTTGGCTTCAATCAATTTTGGGAGAGTTGGGTCTTGTACAGAAAGGTTCTTCAAGGCTGTTTTGTGACAATAAATCAGCCATTATGCTTGCTTCTGATTCTGTTTTACATGAAAGGTCGAAACATATTGAGGTAGACATTCACTTTATTCGAGAGAAGGTTCGATCGGGTATCATTAATCCTATTTTTGTTCCTTCTTCAGAACAGACTGTAGATGTGTTCACAAAGTCTGTTGGGCCTTCTCTTTTCCAGTCTTCCATGGTCAAGCTGGGCTTAGTCAACGTA